AGAAGGTGGCATGTGGTTGCTGACTGTTCTCATCATGCCTTCACCAGAGTTGCCTTGCCCGCCACCTACCTACTCCGTCTTGATGCTCCTCTGCCTTACTCAGCTCATGTTCATCCTGTGATGCACATTCCAGGTTGTTAGTTATCCCGGCCTATTCAACAATCAATAAACACCGTTTTGACTTCAGTCGGGTTTTGAAGCATCACGGTCTTCTCAGCCGTCGATGTCCAGCGGTCCAAGCTCCACAGCAGCTCGACATTGCCACAACGCGAGACTCGTTGACCCGCGGACACTTTGCTGTTGGTTCCGTGGACGGGAAACATATGCACTAACTCCGTACCGTCTACCATCAATCCAGTCTCGTGTATGCTTTTGTGGCTTTGCCTGTCCTACCCCAACACGCAGCTAAAGGGCCTCGACTCTTGTAGGCTATTTGGGAGTCTGCGACACATGGTGTTTGGATGTCTGTGAGCTCGACTAGGATCGCCTCCGTCTCTAACCAACACGATCTCTACTGCGGCAATAGAGCTCTCTGTCCTGGCGGCTTCTTTCATGGCTTATATTTATTCCTGACAACATAAATTCCAAATCGTTAAGCGGAGACATTCCAGCTTATCATTCAATCCCTCCATTCATACCCCCGGAAGAAGAAATTCAGTATTTGGAATTGATACACGATTTGGAATCGCAGAATCCTCTGAAGTCAGAGTCAGCACGGGACCTTAACGATGCCGGCTTACCTCTGCCACGGCTTTCGCTGGCAACGCCGCAGCGTGCGCGTCTTTGTCATCGTCCAGAACCTCGACGACGCCTCGCCTGAGTGGATCATCCCAGCTAGGAGCTCGCAGTGCATCCTAGAGTCTTTCTACAACCTGTTCGACTTCCTGCCCTACTGCGTACCACCGCCCCGCAGTGGTAGCGGATATGGTAGCAGCAGGGTGACCCTCCGGACCGGCGGCTCGGGCGCCAACAGCGACGACGAGAATCATGTTCCTAAAGGTAACGGAACGCGCAGCCGTAGCCAGAGCGGCACCAACGCAAGCCAGAAGAGCCGCTCGCAGAGCAGGACGCGCAGCCGGCAGCAGTCGAACCCGCCACTGCCCTCCTCCGCGCCACTTAACGCCCACGGTCTGCCGGCCGAGGACGAGCTCAAGGTGCAGGACTGGTCCGTCGTGAAGCTGCTGGAGGAATACGACCCGCTAAAGCTGGATGAGGTCTCGCGGCCCTACGCCTACGTGGCTGATTACGCGGTCAAGATAGACCTGTCGGCCTCCATTTTTGACGAGATCGCGCGATATGAGGAACGCGTGCGCACCGATCGCGACCCGCCTATCACTGGACCCTGCGACGAGGGCGGACTGCCCGCCCAGAGCAAGAAGAAGAGCGGCAAGAAGCAGCAGCAGGGCAACGGCACCGGCTGGTTCGAGAGGCTGCGCGACCAGCTGCAGCGCGGCGAGGAGATACGCTGGTACGTCGTCGTCAACGGCGACGAGGTGCGTGATTGGCCGGACGAGCCGGAGGGCAAGGCGGCCAAGGCGGCCGAGAGGCCAAAGGCTACAAGGGCGCAACAGGAGCACCACTCGCAGTATATGCTGCAGCAGCAGATCTTCGAAGATATTGATAAGAACGGGAAGAAGTTTCCTATACGGACTGACAAAGAGAAGTGGGACCAAATACCCAAAGGCCCGCCACCGGCATTGAAGACGGCGACGTCTGCAGAAGGTCAGGGTTTGAGGCCGAAGACACCTAGTAAGGGGGGATTTAGAAGGTTGTTTGGGCGGAATCATAAGGGAGAGGAGATGTCACCTTGAGGTTCTATGCTGGGATCGAACCGTGTTCTAATCCGTCCTCGCTGAAATGGTTCACCCCCGAAAGGATATCGGATGCAATGGTCCCCACGTCGCCATCGTTGTTCTCTGCCCAGGGAATCAGACAGTATGACCAATGTTCATGCTGTGTTCGCCACTTTCGGTCCGGCAAGCAGAGACTTGTGCCCTCAAAAGTGTTTGGTCCGCTTTGACCGTCTGGTTTGTGGGACGAGCCTGGGGGGTTTACACATGGGCAAGCCGATGTGGATTATATGTTCCAAGGTCCGGTGCGTGGTCTGGGTCAATGAGAACGCGTTGTAGTACATTCGGCACCTCCTCATATCTTATAGCATGAGGCTTTAATAACGTGCCATCTGAGGGGACAATGTCTTGTTGGGACGTTGGAAAGAAGATGAACGTGAACTTTGTCTTTTGTCGGTTACGAGATTGTGTCAGCGGTTGCTACATTCTCTGTACTAAATATCATAGACTCCGCTGGGATCTAGAGTAGAAAGACGTCCGTGTTTTAAACATTCCCATGCATCTGGTCCCTTCGCTTGAACTGACCTGCTGGGTTATGCCAACGTTGAGGTCAACCTTCATGTCCTCCTGTCCTGAGGTCAAACCGTCGTGAGCTTGAGCGGTGTATCACGGTCAGGTGGGACGTACAATGATTCAATTCCTCGAAGACGTCGCTGTTCGTGGAGATGAGGCTGGTGGCTACCCCTTGCCGCCAATCGATGCAGTCTCTACTGGAACCCGACCCCGGTAAGTAGGGACATGTCAGCATGCAAGAATCCTTCCATCCTCGACCGCCCCCAACATCACTAGCCGTACACCAGAGCTGTTTATCATGGACCAATTCCTGCTAGTCGTCTATTTGTCTGCCCACGCGCAGCGGACCGGACGCAGTGCGGAGGCTTTATCACGATCTAATTGATCAGGATTGGTGTCTTGCTCCTAACCATGTTCCGTATGCAGGAGCGACCTCTTCCCTCTCCAGAGAAATAATGTTCACCAAGGACAACGCCTCAACTCTCTCCTGCTCTGCTTTAAAGAGACAGGTATATTTTGCCTGCCCTCTGTAATACTTCAATTTACCGGTAGTGTGACCGACGATGTCGTCTCCCGCATGGCTGGGAGAGGTCTTGACCCATTATATCACAATTACAGTCCTTCAGAAAACTCTCTCGGCCTCTGTGATCGGATACACGTCGCCCAGCTCACTTTTACGCCCAGGCCTCCTTCCAGTGCAGCTCATGCTGGCCTCGCTTGTTTGCCGATCCGCAGCACTGGATGGGGTGAATTCCAACATCCGTGTCTGCGTTATGGCCGGTATCTTCATGGAACCCATCGTCTTTCTCGACCAGGCGGTGTTGAGCAGATGGACGTTTGAAGCACGGGGGCCTACTGCATTCTTTCCCTCCAAGAAAACCTCTACCGGAAGCAGGAAGACAGCCGTTGGCCGAGTCCAAAAGGATGACATCTCACTTGGCTTGGACTCTGCCTGGACGAGATATCTCTTCGGCCTAGCGACGTCGACCAACTGGCGGCTTCTCAACACGCCTTGGGAAGTGAACGGCTGCCCTCAATTCAGCGCAGCGGACAAACCATATGTTCCATCTCGCCCCAGCTTTCTCATCAAGGCTACTGCCGTCTTTCTGGCCTGCTATTACTTCATGGACTTCCTGATTGTTGCGGGCAGGCAGAATCCCCCGAATATCAGCGCCTTCACGCCGGACAAAGTCCCTGTTTTCACCAGGCTCGGCGAGATAACGGCCGAAGAGGTCATCACTAGACTAGCAGCCTCCATTATGCATTTCGTTGGTACATACTGTGTAGTCCAGTCGTTTTACTATGCCACTGCCGTCCCCTGTGTGGCATTGGGCAGCCAGGTAAGAGACTGGAGGCCGGCATTCGGGAGTCTGTCCGAGCTTTACACGGTTCGCAAGTTCTGGGGGTAAGTGCCTAACCTACCTCAACTACCATGTCTCTTGACAATGGCACTAAATCGCCCGCAGCACGTTCTGGCACCAGTTCGTCCGCCACATGCTTAGCACCCCGGCAGCCTTCATCGCGCACTCCGTCCTCCGCCTTCCACCGCGGGGTTTCGTCCAGCGATACGTCAAGATCTTCCTCGTCTTCGCTTTTTCCGGCGCGCTTCATGCTGTCATCGATATCTACGCGGTCGGTCTTGATCTCTCCGAGTCGGGAGCGCTACGCTTCTTTTGCACGCAGGCGCTCGGCATCGTGTTGGAGGACGCCGTTCAGGGAGCCTGGAGACGGGCTGTCGGACCACCAGGTGGCGGGATAGGGACGAGGATTGTCGGGTCCGTGTGGCTTGCTGTCTTTATGGCCTGGTCGACGCCGCATTGGGCTTATCCGTATGTGGTGAAGTCGGTTGAGCCTGGAGCTGGCGATGCTCCGTTACCGCTCAGCCTCGCTGTAAGGGTGCTGGGGACCGGGAAGAGGTAGGTTCGACAGTCTCAACCTGTACTGTACCTAGCACCATTTCTAGACGGTAACACATATCGACCCAACTGCGAGTTTGTCGTAGGTAATGGTGGCATGTCACATGCGGTGACTAGATCACTAGGTAATGGAGAGTGCTGAAAGGCAAATCACACATATTCATGGCCAGGTTTTAAGTACACAGCACTCGTTGATCTGCCTGAAGGCTGTACGAGGCCAAGCCAGAAGAGCTCTCCGAGAGTCGATATACCTCAGGGGATGAGGTGCTGACTAATTCGTGCCCTACGAGACCTCGCACAACCACCAACATGGTGAAACGGGTCGATATGCAACAAATGTAATCCACAGTGAACAGTGAACGGTTCAAGGGGCATGTAGCAGGGAGTTTGTAACTCACCGTTCCCGCACCAGCCATGGCACATGTCAACGCTGTTGAGTTCCCGTAATGGGCCTGCAGCATGTCTCAAGCAACCCAAGGAGTGTTGGCCATCTTCTTGCCCCCGTCTACCGCCCCATATCTCATATCCCACCTGTTAAGCCCGGGAAAATCCAAGCAGCCAGGGGGTGTAGCTCGCAGAAAAAAGACGGATCCCAGAAACCCACCTCCTGACAAGTCAGTCTCTGCACGCCGGCCATTCTCTTGAAGTGGGACAATAAGCTCCCTTCCACCAACAACAGCTAGCTGGATGGGGTGTAGTCCATCCATCCAAGCAGGTCAAAGGGGGTGTAGCTCATCTGGTAGAGCGCGTGCTTAGCATCTCTGAATATATCGCTCATCCCGGGTGATTGTCAGTACAATGTTCCTGCACGAGGTACTGGGTTCGACTCCCAGCTCCTCCACAATTTGTTTTTTTGCTGTTTTCTTTGGTTGTAGTAAAGGATTTTGCAAGTCGTGTGTGGTGTTTGTGTTGCTGCTGCACTAGCTGGATTTTTGTCAATTGGAGGAAGGTGCGAACTGGCAGCTGCCTTCTTTTGCTCCCCATAGAAATCCTGGGACAAACGCCTCGAAGCTTTCCAATGGCTGAAAAGGTCTGCCAATTGAGGGCTGGATGCCATCCTTGCTCCTCTCCAACGGCTTCAATTGACTTGATCTGTGCCGTTCGCGCCATTTGTTCCGGCCGTTGGTTGTAGACGTACAATCATAATCATGGGGCAGCCAAACGGCGCCGAACTCATCCCGCCCTAACCTGGCAATATCGTCCATATTACCTCGCCTGCAATACCTTGTTGCATCAGGAATATCGATATTTCACTGCCCCCTTTTCATCGTGTCGTTCGTTGCCTGCCTCCAGCACATCAACAGCAAGCGAGGATCACGTGCGATGGAGGGGAATCGAGATGATCAAGAGACCATCGACGAATCTTCAGCCCCCTGGATTTTCAGCTTCATTGTGCCTGTTTGCCATCCTCTGTTGGACTCCACACTCGTCGACTATTCGCTGCTAGATCCGAGACGACAGTATCCTCGAGTGGCACAAGACAATTGCCGCCACTTCCACTGATGTCTTGACCTTTGCACTGCGTGTCGCATGTACGATCGTCTTGATCCCTGGCATTCCCGTTCGAGGTTTCCCGAGGTCTTACACACCTCGTCCTTATCACAAACGATTGAATTGTCTGGCCACTGAGGCAGCCTATATCTACCTCACCTTCGGCCTCGCTGATGCCCAAACCAGACCACCTTGAGAAGGTAGAAGAGCTGCGTAACGCCATCTCAGGCGTTCATTCCTGTTCTGATTGTATCGTGCCCCGGGGAGCTACTGCACGCCAACGTCGCTTTGAACCCACGCGCTTGCATGAAAAGCAGCCTTTGCAGGGAGCTCTCATGCAACCTATCTCCCAATTACAGCTGAGCTTATGCAGTCCTTAGCTCTGGCCGCACCATTCAGAGCGGACCACGCTGCCCGACGCTGCCAGACTCTGCAGATGTCAAGTGCCGCTCCAGCCCTCCCACACTGTGGTGCTGCGGTGCTCAGGGCTTACTGAAGTCCCTTCCAGTGACGAATGGCCGAACAAGACGACGTCCAGGGCCGCCAGACCTCACGCCGAACAAGATCTTCACGCAAAACGTCACCTGTGCCCGACAATGATTGGCCAGGGACGGACGAATCCGTCGCTACATTCTCGCCTCGCCGGAGGCTACATGGAGATATAGACGCTTCCAAGGTTGGCACGATATCATCTGGCGCCCATCGACGACCGGGCCCGACTGCTAAGGTGCCGACGACTCCAACTCGATCGTCGCTGACGAGGTCTTCGAGCATGAGTACGCGGAACCCCAGCGCCGCCGCCCCCGGGTTGCCGAGAGCGGCCACGGTCCCGCATCATCATCGATGGCCGGCCTACATATACGAGGAGGAAGACAATTCGAGGTCCGATAGCCGGAGGAGCGGGTCACGCCGCGACGTCAGTCCGCCGTCGGCGCATCTATACCGATCAATGGCCGGGTCACGGAAGTCGTCTCGAACGTCTCTGTCCGAGTCCGATGCAGACCTTACAACGTCGACGCAAGAAGAGACTACGAGGAAGGTTGTGCATTCAACGCACGTGCATACGCAACCATCACCTCCGCCTCGAGTGCCTGCACCGCCCAAGAGCCGAAAAGATGTCATATATGAGGAGGATATTCACATGGAGCGGAGGGAACGCAGGCCCAGATTGAGGCGAGAAGATACACTAATTCAAGAGGAGGAACGCAGGCAACCGAGGCCGAAGGCGAGGCGAGACGAGCTGTTGTATCCGGACGAGCTTGAGAGAGAATGCGACGAACACAGGCCTAAACCCAGAAGGGGTGAGCTGCTGTACGATGTTGACAGCGAAGCGGAGCCGTTGCCTAAGCCTCGGCGAGGCGAGGTTATCTACGTGGAGGATTGTGAGGTTCCCCCGAAATACAATCCCTTCCTCGACAGACCAAGGACCCCACCGCGAGATCCGTCCAGAGCACCGTCTCGAGCAGCTTCCAGGGCGCCATCGAGCATGCAGGACAAACACCGCAGTTTAGGGAAAGAACATCGAAGAAGCAGCACCATTGACGAGCCTCAGTCCCGTTCGCGTTCAAGGCAGAGGCTATCCAAGAGGTATGCATACCTTCCATTGAGATGGGCAGCTAAGAGCACAAGCATTTTAGCCATGCTAACGTGGTATATCCAGAGTAAGCGGAAAGTACTATGAGACGGAAGTCGCATATCACGACAGCCGTCCATCGTCTGCACGGAAAGCCCGCACTACGGTAGGGTCGAATGGGACGTCATCCCAGAGTGCGCACTCCGCCAGGCGGTCTTCTTCTTTTCTCGGGAACTTCTTTGGTCCCATGCAAACGCATCAATACGCCAAACCTGTAAAGCTGTAGGTCATGCTAGCTTCGGTTCAGCATTTCGATGGCAAGACCCCTTAACTAACTTACCAAGGGTTCAATGCGTCATATGCATGGAAGACGATGTGCCGTCTCACAAGACAGCGAAACTGAAGTGCGGCCATCGCATGTGCAACTCGTGCCTGAAGGACAGCTTCAGATTGTCAGTACGGGATCCCCAGCACATGCCGCCTCGGTGCTGCACGACGGACCACATCCCTCTTAAGCACGTCGAAAGGCTGTTTGACACGAGCTTCAAGAAGCAATGGAACAGGAAGTATGCCGAGTTCTCAACACGGAACCGCATCTACTGTCCGTCGAGGCGCTGTGGCGAGTGGATCAAGCCGGAGCACATCCACCGCGACGTGGATGGACGCAAGTATGCCAAGTGCGGCCGCTGCCATACCAAGGTCTGTTATTCGTGCAACGGAAGGTGGCATAGCTCGAGGGACTGTCCAAGTGACGAGGAGACGCACCGTTTTCTTGAGCAGGCAAAGCAGCTGGGATGGCAGCGATGCCACCGCTGCAAGGCTGTGGTTGAGCTCAAGGAGGGTTGCAACCACATGACTTGGTATGTGTTTGATGCTCCTTCACACTCCTTCGTGCCCCTAGTCTCTGCTCAAGTCTTGCTAATCTAATCCTCTTCGCTCGTATAGTCGTTGCGGTGCCCAATTCTGCATGATATGTGGAGCGAAGTGGAAGACGTGTGACTGTCCGTGGTTCAGCCACGACGCGGTCGAGACTGATCGCCTCGAGCACATGCAGATACCGATGCACATCAGGTCGGACCCCCTGAGCATGCGGTCGGAGGTGCTGTTCGACGCCGCGCCACCATCACCAAGAGACTTCCGGTCCGGCACAGTCTCGCCCGCGGCGGCTGCCCGCCCCCGACCGCAAAGTTACGAAGAGGAGATATTGTTACGGCGGCTGCAGGAACAGCGAGACGAGAGGTCCACACGGCGCATCCGGCCCTCGGCCCAATATGATGATCATGACGACGACGATTACGACTATCAGGGACGGATTGGAGAGATCCACGGAATCGGCCACCAGGCCGGCCACCACATGAATGATGACTACCGGCGAAGGCCAGAAACGATTATTATACCACCAGCACCACACACGGAACCCAGGGTTGCACCACAGCAATCCCCTTACGACAGAACCACTGTAGGAGGAACGGATTACGTCTCGGGAATCCACCGCGCCCGCGGTGTTCGGGCAAGCTCGATGGAGAGGAGGCTCGCTGACAGGTTCAACTCGGATCTGAGACAGACTCCGGTGCGCCCAGCGGCTCACCGAGGACCACCACCGCCTCCTCCTATGCTTAAGACGGCGGCGACGATGCCGATCATGCCTGTACCAATGGCTCCGCCGCAGATGGTGCCTATGGGTCACCACTCGGCGCCGGGCATGACGCCAGTCCGCAGGCGACACACCATGGAGGAGGAACTGTACAACACCCACACTAGCCCGCGGAGCGCGGAACCGCAGCCGAGACGGGGCTCGGGCCGGACACGCGTCCACCGCCGCACGGATGACTTTGAGGAGGACGACGAGATCATGGCCCCGCCGCCAGTCGTCGCCGGTTCTCGCCGGCCGGGCCGCCATCGGCGCGACGGAGGCACCCGGCAACATTACCGGGAGCCGGACGAGCCGCCCAAGTCGTCGACGCTTGCCGGGCTCACTGGACCGGGGAGGGGGATGGACCGGGTGTTTGAATGGGTTAATTATGTCGAGGATGGTCCGCCTCACGAGGAGGAGAGGATGTCCACTGCGGGCTCGGCGTGATATGGAAACGGATTCGATGATATGGAACGAGGAACCGGAGGTTTTTTTTCTTTTTTTTTTCTTTTTTTTTTTGGGAGGGTTACATCCAGGCGAATGCGCTTTTTCGGATTCCAGATTCTAAGTAGCGATACTGTGCGTTGTATTATCTAGGATGGCAGGTCTCATTTTTGGAGTCGGGAAGGTGACTTTGAGGCTGGAGTCAACGATCTTGGGAGGCCAGCGCTGTCTTAATCACAATATATTTTAACGATCTCTTTCGACTTCGTCCTGTTCAGACACTTGTCTTTATTATAACATACCCCCGACTCGATCTCATAACGTTCAATGTTCCCTTAGTGACAAATGTTTTCGACAGTGCATCTCATGAAGTGGATAATCACTTGGAGCCCTCAACCGCCACACCTTCCACGTGGCTGCAGAGACGCCTTAGATATGGCGACGGTTGAAGCTTTGTACTCCTCCTCAGTCATGGCTTACTGATATCGCCAAGACGCTTGAACCCCCTTCAAACTCATCAGAGATTGAATCTCTTGGAATCGTCAACACGAAGTTTCTCCTCCACGTCCCTAATCTTTCGTCTTCATTGGCCGAGCCCGGCAGACGCGGTCATTGATACCAAGCGCGTGATCTTGAACCTCGATTTTGCGAACGCTTCATATCCTACGTTTCTCGCTTGATTTGGCTACCTAGTCAAAAG